AGGGACAAAGGCAGTGACCATGGGTTGAGATAACAATTTGCTGAAAGCAGACAGCAATGGACTAAGAAATGCCCAGTAATGGCAGCAATATCAATAACAGAAGTATGCAAGAGGAGCAGGTGCTTTACACACAAAAATGTGTTCACCACCTTGACGTAGTTCTGCATGGCAGCCGGGACAAAGACAAGATGGCAGCAGCTCCCACACACAGCACCATGTGGTTTCCCCAGACAAAGACAGGATGGCAGGCACTCCCCACAGCACTCTCCTTGTCCATGAGCCAGGAACAGAAAAACATTGGACAACCCCCAAAAGCTAGATTGTCCACGTCGAGCCACACTGCTGCTTTGGACTCTGGACTCGATTCCGCACAGCTGTGGCTGGTACTGGTGTCACAGATTTTGACTGCTCCATCCAGGTCCACTTGGCTCCTTTCAGCTTGGGTCAGACTCTGCTGAGGTCTACATTTGGATCTACAATAACTTTGCAAAGGATTTCTGTTACTGGATTACTATATGTCCATTTAAATAAATGTGACTCCTTAATAGTCCTGTTGCCTTAGATGAGGGAAAGTGTTTACCCAGGGATAATTCTGCTCTTTTATTTTTCCCAGACTTCTGTACCCTAGTACAGTGACAAAAATTGAACATAAATACTTCCTAGAGATAGTAAAACAACTGAACAGAAGAAGATTACTTGCCATTTCTGGTGGCTTTCTTTCTCTCTGCAGTACATCAGACAGCAGTTTGCCTTCATTCAGTCTTCCAACTCCCAGCTTCTGGACTCATATATGGGATATATACATGGGATATATAGTGTTTCCTTTCCTAATTTTGTTTCAGCTTTCTAATAATATCCATCCTCTCTTACATAACTCTTAGTCATTCCCATTGATTTCATTACCGCTGTATTCCATTTTCTTAAATGAAAGTAAAGCTTATCATTCCTGCTTCTGTACTGACTTTAAGTTGAATGCACCATTACTTCCTTACACAGAAGCCCTTGTAAGCACTTCAGACTGATGTTTCTCATTTAATATACCACACATCCTTTAAACTTAATATAGGCTTATGAAGTTACCTTTTACTCCCCTTCTGCAAAACTGTTCCTTTCAACATTTTTGTTTTAATTTCCTTTTTCTTTCATCTTACTATCTAGTGCTGATGACAAAATTTCCATGCAAATGTGTGGATTTTTGACTAAATTAACATTTTCAAAAAGTGTCATCTTGGAAAAATTTAATTCATCAACACATATGCCTGACCCTAAAACTTCCGCAATAAAATCCTTCTGTGTATTTTTCGGTTTTTCAGCAGTTCACTAAAATCTATCCACTACTTGGCTCTAATTTTTTACTATAGTTACTATTTTATAGTTCTTACTTGAATGATAAATATTATCTTATTTTCTATTTAAACATTTTATAGTATTTTATTTCAGAATTTCCCATCTAATTCATAGCTTATATTTCCTTAATAACTCACTTTAAGTTCAGATCCAGTTGCTCACAAATTGGAAGCAAATATTCTAAAGATATTCTACAGAAAGATTTCTCAGAGGTAGTCTAGGAAGTAGCTGCAGGTTTTTCGGACAGCATTCAAAGATATATATATGTATACATATTATATGTGTATATATATATAATATATATGTGTGTATATATATATGTGTGTGTGAGTTTTTTTTCTCTAGATCTACACACACATATGCACAGAGCCTGTTTATGTGTGCGTACACACAAACACCACACGCACAGTTATGATGTATCACCTGGTAGCTGTCCACAGTGTCTAGTGCTTTATAGGAACTTGAAACTTTTCCCTTTCCTTCATCCTTTTTTGAAGATTGGCTTTTGGCCATCACTTTTTAGCAGTTCTGTAAAATAATTTTCTGTGAAAGAGTGACATCATACACCTCCACAGGTATTTATTGCTGAGTTATAATCCTGCATATAACTGTTTATGTCTCAGTCCTCCTGATCATAGAGAGGTGAGTATAAACACCTGTAAAGAATTTTTAGAACAGTGCATAAATATGTATGCATTGAAAATTCAAAAATATGAAAAACAGAACTTTTGTATTTTGCAAAGAATTGTATGAACAATATGATTGCAATTCGTCCAGCTTTTTTGCTAACTGAAAGTTATCAAAATAAATTCTTGTAACAAAAAGTAGGATGGCTTTCAATCCTGCAGAATGAAGTTAAGAAATTATGAAAAGCCTTTCAATATGCAAGTTTCAAATCAGCCATGAATAAACAACTTTAGCCCTAAAATACAGAGGAATAATTCTCAGTTAAAAAGGGTTGTATTATCTTAAAGCATATATGGATAGACTGTGTTGTGACCTTGCTTTATCATATTAAATAAGGGGGTTTTTTAATGAGTATTTTCCTTATATTGCCATATAGCTGTGCTGTCTGAAGTACTTTTTCCAAAATTTCAGTTCATTTCTTAACATTATCATTTTATTACCACTTTTTAGAACATAATTTTTTCATTTTTCATCCTTGTCTCTCTCAAAGCAGAATATTGAATGCTGGTGTTTTTTGGGTTAAGTTCATTGCATGTCCCAAACTCTTACAGAGATGATTTTATGAAAAGTTAAATATTTTTAATGACTTAACTTTTTTCAGGATATTTCTTCATCTCTTAAAAGGGTCTTATTAATTGTCAAAGTGATGCAGAATGAGACTAACCATGATATATGTGATGCTTGAAAGAAAGACCTCTGAATATATCCTACATTCTGAGAATTGTTGATATCTGAGATTCTGAGAATCGAGAGATATCTTTTCCCATTTTTTCATTTTAATAAGTCCTTTATTTAAAAAGAAAATGAAGAGGAATATTTTGTTTTTCTGGTAATTTGGGTGTCATTAGTTTTACACTTAAACCTGGATTTGTCTCATCTCACCTCACATGGATGAGAAATCTGAGACTTCATCTTTCTGTAAGCAATGAAGAGAGGTAATGTTTTGCTTCATTGTTTCCAAGGAAATTTGAGCAATTAGGATACTAATTTAAGCCCTTTAAGTCACTAAAAATTCACAAAAGATGGTTTTGAATTGTCTTGCTTATATCACGGATCTTTGCCCTAAAGCCAGCTCACACATAGAGAAATGCTTCTCATTGCTGTGGACCTTTGAACTACTGATCAAAAAAATTTTCCATTCAATCTATGAACCTGAGCTAGGTGAAACTTGCTGATGTTTCTTGCAGCTACTGTTACTTCAGTGTTGCTCTCTCCTTCTTTTTCTTAAGATCAATCAAATTATGTTTGATCCAAACCCGTAATAACTTGTAAAGCAAGTTTTTTACAGTCAGCAGGCTGCAAGCAGCTGGGCTGCTGAGAGGTGTTCCTCTTGATGTTGGATTTCTAATGTCAAATTTTCTCCCTTTTTCAGTCAGCAGTACAGGTCCTTATTTCCACCTTCATTGTGCAGTGAGTGCATGATATTCAGCACTACCAGGCTAAACAGAAAAGCTGACTAGGTCTACCTGGGAGATGTTCATTGTTCTTCCCTTATGGGAATGGTTTTGAGAAATCAAGATGACAATGTATCACAGCACCTCATATTGCACTTTTTTCATGAAATTTAATAAATTATTTACCTCAGACTTACATGACAATTACATTATTCATTATCTCCTGACCAGTGAAGAGAAAGAATCTTCTGTTTTGAATGGTATACTATAAACTGCCAGGTTATGCACAATTTAAGTTGCTTAGATTTCTTTTAATTAGGAAAACAAACTCAATTCAGGGCAATATAACAATGCAATATATTTTTTGTGAGTCTAAAATCAGACAGAGAATAAGTCCTGTCTCTGATAGGCTAAACCTAGATTTTTATAAACTTGAAGAAAGGACTTGGACTGTTTTTTTGGATAAAACTTGTCTATTCTGAATTTTGGAAAAGATTGTCTAACCCAATATGCTGAATGCTTGATTAAAAAAGTGCAAACTTAAAGCTATGGTTGATATATAGTCTTGAATTCACCTACATTTTCTGTCTCTCTATTGATTTTGAAAGACTTTAAATAACTGTATCAGGGGGCTTATTTTGTGTCAGTCAAAGCAATTTGCATTAAAACAGTACTTCAAGAAACTCCTCAATGAAAAATCCTGGCTGAAAAAATGCTTGAGAAGCGCATTCCTAGAAGCCTAAAAGAAACTGGAGGGAATGACCAAAAGTATCTTTGGAGTAGGAGTGTTTTCAAAAAGTGAATGTACAGGCATTCTCTTCAAAACACTCTCTGTAAAACATTCACAAAAATATGCTACCTTTAACTTGGGCAGAAAAATTCAATGAAGTTTTCTGATTGTTTTTTGTATGTTTAAAAGGTTTCCTCTTTTCCTCTGTAGTAAACATTCTCTAACCATGAACAAACTCCAGTGTTTTTGCCATTGAATCCTCTTTTATAACACAAACCACAGGGGGCCTGCCTCAGTGTAGGAAGCTGAGACTTGAGCAAACTTCTGAGTTTCAGCCTTGGCTAACATAATGATTTTCTCTTTTTCTGTTACCTGGAGCTGTTTTGTTACATGAAGATATGAAAAAGTACAACTAGAGATTTACCCAGTAATTTAAAATATATAAGTATTTGAGAAAAAAGTATTCTCTTGGAGGTATTCTCAACTTTTATGAAGAGAAATTGATGGGGAATACATCATAGAGATTTACTCCCTTAGGCCTTATTGCTCTGTGTAACGTGTAAGATGCATGATTTTAAACAGAGGATTTTACATCACTGACTTTTAAGATTTCCTAGTTTAATTTTTCAGCAGGTGGTTTATAGAGCTAAAGTATTTAGAAAATCTTTTTAAAAGTAAATGGCGCTGGTAGGATGTTCAAGCTATATGATGATGAAACTTCTCTACATGACAGCAATGCATAGAATGTGTCCTGTTGCACTAAGAAAAGCAAAGGTTTTTTTATTGACTGCTAGATGACTTATGGTGACTTTCATTTTTTGTTCTTTGATTTTTTTTTCCAGCTTTCATTTGCAGCAACAACTCCAGAGTTGGCTGATAAGAAAAAATATCCTTATTTCTTCCGGACAGTGCCATCTGATAATGCAGTGAATCCAGCAATTTTGAAGTTACTCAAACATTATCATTGGAAGAGAGTAGGAACTTTAACCCAGGATGTACAAAGGTTCTCTGAGGTAAGATTTGCATAATTTTTAGGACGCACAGAGAGATGCCAATATCAGATTTCTAAGGAGTTAGTTCCTTTATTAACAGCAATTCAGGAAAAAGAAACTGTCCCATTGTTTCAGTCCTGTTTGGCTTTCTCATAGTAGGTCACATTTGCTGTACTGAATAAGCTTAATTCCCTTCAGGGGTTTATTTGAGTGTCTGTAATGAAAGCTACTTTTGCATGTCTGTTTTTTACGCACAAGATCATTGCACCCCAGTGCAAAGGTTCCTTTATACACTTTGATTTGCAAAAACATATGTTTCTGAGGGAGGTTTGTATTCTGACTCTGGTTCATTTAAAAGGTTGAATAAATCCAATTTCATCATGTTCCTTTTATGCTCTGACTTATTACAAGCATCAATCTTAACACTGAGGAACAAAATCTGGTAAGTCAGTGGCTGAAAATATTAGAGGAGCTTACTGAGACAAAAATGTCAGAAGCCCTAGAACTAATAAGATCACATAGCTTGCACCCCACAGATCTTTCAAGTTTCACCCTGAGCAACATTTTGGTCATGAAAATTGCACTAAAATATGGACTAAATGTCTTTAAGCATGGTCTTAACAATTGAATAAAAGAAAACGTAAATGTAACGAATCAGAGCAAGACAAGGAAAAGAGTTGGCCCATTAATTATCAGAGAGGTAAAACTAACAGAAGCATGCCTGATTGTTTGGTTGTTGGGAGTTTTTTTCTTCTTCAGCATTGATTGATTGAGAAGGCTGACTGTGCTCTGAAGACTAGCGTAATTAAAACTAGGGAAGAGGGATAAGAGTATGTTAGAGTCGTCTTAGATGAGTCAGATATTTTCAAATTGTCTGGCACAATTAATTCACAATGGAATACTTCAGAAATCTTAGACTCTTCCCTATGAGCTTTGAGAATTAAAGGATAAAAAGTAAATGAATTGTGGGGGGAGGGAAGAAACCTTTGTGTCTGTCTTTCCAGAAAACACACAAAGGCCCTGGGAATTATAAACCATTCAGGTTAAATTTGATTCCTGGAAAGACACTTGAACAAATAATCTGTTTGGAATCACAAAGGAGATAAAAAGATGTCAAACAATGGTGAAAATGGATTTTTCAAGAATAAATCATGTTTTCCGTCTATGACAAGGTAACAGGTCTCAAGGAGGTGTGATAGGTGATGTGCGATATTTCATGACTTATAAAACGTTAAAAGTGCTCCTAAAGAAAAGTAGGGAAACTTAATCTTGGTGTAAGAGCACTCTTACTGTAAGAGCAGTCTAGTCTCTTAACCAATATTCCTTCTAAAAAAGTTAATTGATGTCATGTCAGTTGCATATTTGTTTTTAATACAAATGCTGAAGCAAAAAGTCACCAAGAAGTATGGTATGCTTTACCCTTCTCTGTCTTGGAAATAATTTTAGTGAGTAGTTATCAGTGGTATACTGTCAAAAAAGAAGGATGAGATTCTGTCAAGTGGCATTCTCTAGAAACAGTTAAGATTTTCTCTAGATAGTATGATAAAGAAAATGTTTATTAAATTGCAGTTGATACCTACTTGGGAAAAGCTGCAAGTACTTTGCTGAGGACAGGACTGAGTTTTAGAATTATACTGATACTGGCTTAACTCCAGCCAGGTGCCAAGCACCACACAGCCACTTGGTCATTCCCCTGAGAGCAGGTTTGGGGCCAGAATCTGAAGGGCAAAAGCCAGAAAACTCAGGGGCTGAGATAAAGACAGACTCATAGGGAAAGCAAAAGCAAAAAGCAAAAGCTGTGTGCACAAGCAAAGCAAAACAAGGAATTAGTTCATCGCTTCCCATAGGCAGGCAGGTGTTCAGCTATGTCCAGGAGAGCAGGGCTCCATCACACATAGCAGTTACTTAGGAGGTCAAACACCACCACTCCAAATTTCCCCCTTCCTCCTTCTTCCCCCACTTTATATACTGAGTGTGGTGTCATATGGTCTGGAATATCCCTCTGACATTTTTTTGAAAGTGACAAAATAGAATAAGATCTAAAACTTCTCTCTCTGTTGTAAAATGCCAGTGAACTTGGGATGTGAATGGTCTTGTCTATAATGAAAATGCATTACAAGCCATTAGATCAGAAGTAACTGAATGTCTTCTCTTACTCTCATGCAAAATAAAATAAGTGGAAACAAATTAATGGGATCTTTAGAGAAGCCTGTGTAATAATCAGGTGGTTTTACTCTTAGCAGTGAGACAGAGCAGTTCTCTCATTTTTTCATCTCCCAGAAAGACTGTTTCAGTTTGACAGATCTCTTTCTCTTTTTTGAATCTAGAGCAGTTTGGATATCTATCTAAATTTCCTCCACTGGTCCTTCCACCTAAACACATGGGGGGATAGATGCTCATTCTTGCATAGGGACTTCATACCCATGCAGTTTCATCAACAGGAACCCTAGCTGCATCTCTTTACCTGCCCTCTAACTTCAGGGGGTTTTGGGCTGATGACTTTTTTTTCGTTAGCTAGATCACTGTCTACTGTCTCCCTGCAATTTGTATTTGATCTGATCTCCTGAACAATTAAAGCTCACCTAACTTGTCTGCAGGTTAGCTGCCCCTTACAGTCATCAAGCTATCTTTTTTGTTTACTTTTTCTTGTAATTGGGCAGTTGTTTCAATTGTTTAGTTTATCAGTCTTAACCCAGTTTATATCTGAAGGCCAAGATCACAGAGGATCTCTTGCTTCTTTTTCAGTTGTTTCCTTTGGGAATCCTTTCCACTGAGGCTTTGGGTTATCAAAGTTTTGAGTTACCATTTCCTTTTGCTTGGGGAAAAAATCTTCTCTTTCTTATTAAAAAATGTTTTATCTTCCTTATTCTCCAGGTCACAGAGAGGGTAGGTAGAGAGATAAAGGGTAGGTAGAGAGAATGGAGAACTTTATGCCAATATGCTCTCAGTTCTTAAAAGCACATGGGCAAAATCTATACATCATATACTGCTAGCGTGGCTTGAGACTTTCTTGGCATTATACTGACTCAAGAATTATGGCTTTTCAAGTGACCTGTATTCTATGGCTGCCAATAGTTGAGCTCCCTGTTGGCATTCATTGTGAGTTCTTCAGGTCTGTTTGTACAACCATAAATAATCTTTTCTATCGCATTAATGTTTAAATTGTGTAAGTTGACTTGATATAAGTGTAATGCACATACTTCATCAGTTCTATTACTTAACTAGGACAAATTTATACCTACTGTGCTTCTGTGTCCTAGATTTTGTGGATTGCTGCCCTGTTTTCATCCTTTGGGAGAAGATTCTGTTTCAAAAGTTAATTCTGGGGCAAAGACTTATAAATGAGGTTACAAAATATTTTCAGGATTTCCAACTGAAAGAGTTTTCTGTGGTATATAACTGTAGGGTAATTTAGGTTGGAAGAGATCTTGGGAGGTCTCTCATCCAACCTGCTGCTCAAAGCCGGGCTAGATTTAGTGTTGATTAGCCCTGAGGAGTTATAGCTGTTTGTCCTAGTTCCAGGCAGGAAGGGTTAATTTTTGCAGTATCCAGGAGGGGACATCTCCAGGAACCAGAAGTTATTCTATACCACCTCACTTCACTGCTGAGGTCTGGGGGAAGGGGGTTTCTTCCAGAGAAGGGATCCCTTCCAGCTCAGCATAGTGTAGTGGAGGGAGCAGTTGGGAATTGTTTTCTTATGAATTGTTCACATCTTTCTTGTACCCTCTGTCATTAGTATTGCTGCTGTTAGAGTTCCTTCTCTTATCTCAACCAGTGGTTGGTTTTTACTCAAGTTTTACTGCTGCCTGGCAGTACCTGTTTGGATTGTATTTTGAATTAGGCAAACCAAGCAGTATTCCTGTAGTTTGTTTGCTATATTGCATGCTTCAGTGGGAAGAGTCATGAAAACAAAAGTTATATATATATATTAGTAAGTTAAAACTTTTGGAAGCCACCAGTATTGAGGAAGTTTTAGAGGCTACAGAATATAACTTGAAAAAAAAAATATACTCATATAGTGGTTTTCAGATAATGCTTTATTTGCTAATAAGTATTAGTTTGAGTGTTTTTCTGTTATTTCCTCCATATTTTTAATTTTATTTATACACCTTTTTATTCATAGTATGTTTCAAACTGGAAGTTGGCACTTGATTGCAGTGGTACGGTAAGAGGACTTCCTTCTTTTGTGATACAGACTGGCTTCAGTTACTTCTTTTTGCAAACATTTCATGTTGAAATTCAGTGAAACTGCATTTTAACGTTGCGTTTCATAGCATATTCATGGTATTTCTAGATTAAAAAAAAATAGGTATACATTTTCCTCCCACTGAATATCTTGTCTGGGATTGTTTTTAAAATAAGTTAAATTCTGTTCATCTCAAGTGAATCTTTGTTTTTCCCTACTTCTTAATAGTCCTCTCTTTATGTGATTTCTCTGCTTCTTCATGGAAATATTGAGAACTCCTAATGTAATTTTATAAGTGTAGGTGGCATTTCAAAAAGGCAGAAGAAATGAGAAGTGTGCAGTATGATAATGAAATAGATTAACAATATCAAGATAAAATAGTCTCACTTGTGACTGTCACAGTCTTCATTGAGTTCAATACCTCAAAACATGTCAATGACAAGAACTTAAGAGAAACAAACCTTGCAAGTGGACAAAAAGACATTTTTTCTGAGGGACATGATGAACACTAAGGATTTCTTTTGATTATGTTGCATTTTACACACTGACAGTACAACATCTGCGAAAATCAGCAGGCCATCAGGGTCCATTTGACTTAACTTTAAAGAATTTAGTGTCTCTAAATTCCAAGTCTCATCCCAGAAAATGTAATACTGGAAAAAAAAAATTGCTCCCAAGAAAAGAAGCTAACAGTAAGTTTTCTCAACATAGTATATGTCTGTTGCTGTAGAGAAAGCAGGGTAGAAGTATTCTTTATCTAGAATTTTATTTATTATAGCCTTCCTTTTTACTGTGCAGCCTGTAAACTCTCATCTGAGTTAGAGGTCAATCTGAT